CAAGGAGACGGGATTGACGACCACAACATGACCCGGGACACAACATGACAGCCACCTGCCCAGCCCCTTTATGGCCTCTGTGGCTCAGAGGGCTCTCCAGGGGAGATGGAGGGGACCCAGGAGCAGAGGCAGGGAGGCGGGCCTGCACGCTCTGCTACACACCACAGGCCCAGGGCAGGAGGCAGGGCCGTGGGGGCTGCCCTCAGGCTTCTGAAAGGGGGAGCGGGGCGACAGGCAGATCGCTCGGGGCCTGTGTGAAGGAAGGACTGCAGTGCCTCAGTTTTCTCCACAACAGGCAAGACCCCCGTCAGGTAATCATGGGCTTCAATGAGTTAAAAGTGTATAAAAGTGCTCAGAACAGCCCAGCACCCAGGGTCAGAGGTGATGAGGGGCAGGGAGGACCCAAGAGAGAACAGAGGCTGGCACAAACACCGCCTCCACCTGGCACACCATCACCTCAACCGCAGGCTCCCTTCTCTATCACAGGCTGTGGCGGTGACACTGACAACCTCCAGGTCAGACCCCACCGGGCCAACCCCAACCCTCTCCCAACCCCACGCCTCCAGGCTGACCCCAACACTGGGTCTGGCAAGATCGACAAAGACTCAGCTCTCCTCGCAGCCCTGCTCAACAACCCGGGGGGCTCCCCACTGCCTGGCTGGGGTACCAGATCTTAAAAGGCCCTGGATGCAGGCCAAGGGGTCTGGACTTTCATCCAGGAGACCCTGAGACAGGACGCTTGTGCTTCTTTCCTGTGAAAGGCACTAAGCGTCTCTGTCTCCACGCTAGGGTCACCCCTCATTCCTTCCCACACGAAGACAAGATGTTCAGAGCACTTAGCAGGAGCCTGGCACGTGCTCAATAAAGGCTTTCAATGTAATGTCCCGGTCTGCCCAGGACATTTCCCCTCGCTGCCCCAGCTCCCCCCACCAGGCTGACTTATTATCCAGAGCCCAGCTCTCCCAGGGGAGGCCTTCCCTGACACCCCACCTAAAGCTCTCCGTGACCCCCAGCGCTCACTCGCACCTCACTCTCTTACTGTGTTCATGAACGCAGGAACGTCAGACACGATCTGGGCAGTCTGTTTGTCTGAGGTCGGTCACCCTCGCTAGAAGTTGCTGAGAGCAACTGTTATTCAAGGCTGCTCCCCAGCCCCTAGCAGGGGGGTGGCACTCTAGTGAAATAAAGTGCCCCAAGGGTCCCTTTGCTTGTTGCACTTGCCCCCCAGCTGTGTCGGCCTCCTCTGGCGCCCCAGATCTGTGCTAAGTCCCAACAGAAAAGCTTTATAAAGGGCATCTTCTCTGCCATCCAAACACCACAGCCATCTCCCCCCAGTCTCTGCCCCCGTTCCAGTCGTGTGGCTAGAGGGAGCCACCCCTGTCCTCAGTGCCCAGCGCAGAGCCCTGCTGAGACCCAGGAGGCCCTAGTCTGTGCCATGGCAGCCAGCCTCGGCCCAACCAGGCAGGGGGAAGGCCTCTTTACGTAGGGTGGCTGGCCCAGTTTCTACCCCTCCCAGAGCCAGGAGGCCTGCCAGGGAGGGGACGAGGGCAGGGCCCAGGTGCAGGACAGTTCTAGGAACTATGGGGAGATTGCGGGAAGGGAGGGAACGAGGGTGACAACCCATCATTAACCCCAGATCTGGCTGATACCACTGGACCCAGCCTCACGTGCAGAGGATCCCAAGTCAGCGTTCCCATGACACGCTGGTAACAGCCTTGCGAGTAGCCCAGAGAGAAGGAACGAAAGCTGGGGTGGTCTGACTGAGGACCAACATGGGGAAAGGAGAAACGGGGCAGGCCAAGGAAAATCGAGCTCCAGAGCCAGGCCCCATCCTCACCACCGCCTCCCCTGCCAGCCCACAGCTCCGAGACCCGACCTCTCGGCTCCCAGAAAAAGCAACGGGGTATAAGATGTGGCCAGGCCTCTGAGAAACAAGCTTCCGCTGTTCCAGCCCCCTGACCACCAGGAAGACGCAAGTCTGTCCGCAAGGGCGCTGACCCGTCCCTAGGGATGGGCAGGAGCAAAAGCCCAGGCAGAGAACTCCACTAGGGAATGCCAAGCAGCGGGGAGCTCCTCCAGTATGTCCCTCGAAGGCCGGCTTGGAGCACTGCGCTTGTGGGCTGAGGGTCAGTCAGACCCAGCCTGCCACCGTCTAGTGGTGTGACCTGCGACAAGCCACACCCCCGGGGGCCTCAGCTTCCTCGTCTGTCCCACGGAGGAGGCTTAAGCTGACGGGGTGGCAGCGAGCAATCAGTGAGCTCATCCGACAGCACCGGGCGGCCCAGGAAGGGCACCCTAGAGCCAGAGCCCCTGGGCCAGCAGCCTCAAAGGCCTGGGCCGGGCTGTAGGTGCCTGATTCCATCCCCTTCTGGGTGACCTGCCTTTACCCCACCAGGAGCCTCCAAAACACACGAAACCGAGCTTTACATGCTCACCTCCCAGTTCCTCACCTCCAGGGAGCGGGTGCCTGGGAGACCACGGTATAAGATGGTGGCTGGGAGGTCCCATCCCCTAGGCTTGAGCCTCAAGGCTCTGGTCACAAAAAATGGGAACAAATCTAGGACCCTAAGACACTCAGGTAAGGGCGGTGGGGCTGCCTCCCTGCAGATATATGGGGTGGGAGTGGGCAAGGGCCACCCCCCTGGTAAACCAGACGCCCGAGCCAGGAGTTCCACACTCTTTCCCAAGCTGCCCACACTAACACCGCTCTGGCGGGGAGCACCCTGGAACAATCGGCAGAGGCTTGCCCAAAAGGTAGGTCGGGGACCCAGAGCCTGACAGAGATGAGATGTGTGAAGGAGGGAACCCCCAGGTTTGGCCAAGAGCTAACACCTGGCCGGGAAGGGGAGCATATCTCGGGATGTGCCTTTCGACCACACTAGTTTCTCGGGACCTGCCCCACATCCCCACCAGCCTAGCCCAAAGACTCTGCCTCCCCCCACTCCCCAAGCTCCTACAGTACTCCCTCAACCTACCTGATGGCCCTCGGATCTGGCCTTCTCCCCTCCCCCCCCCCCCCCCCCCCCGACGTCTCTCCGGCCCTAACCTCATGTGACCCCTGCAAACATCTCCAGGATCTCCTATCCGCCCCCACCCGCACTGACTCCGCCCACACCCACCCTGCCCCACTTCCTGGGCTTCTCCTCGGCCGCCCCCAGGCCTGTAACCCGACCCACCCACCTCCTCCAGCGCCGGACCATACCTGCCGGCCCGGCCCCTCCCCGCCCCCCTCCGGGCCGTTTCCTCCGGCCGCGCCGCTCCCCCTCCTCCCCCACTCGGCCGGCCCAAAGCCCGACGCCTCCTTCCCCTCCCCCTCCGCCTCCACGGGCGCCTCCTCACTTTTCCTCCTCGGGCCCTCCAAGTTCCCGGGCCCCCGGTACCCGCCCGGCCCGGCCTCGCGCCCCCGGCAGGGAACGCAGGAGACGGTCTGGCCCGATCCCGCCGCCCACCAGCCCCGCGGCCCGGCCCCGGGCTGGACGCTCAAGGCCGCTGGCGGGGCC